GGTACCGGGAACCGAACTCACGACCTTGCGCTTGCCAGGCAGGCACTTTTGCCGCTGAGCTAAATCCCCAGCCCCTTAATTATAACTAATGTTGAGTTCTTACTCTTTTTTTTTTTTTTTTTTTTTTTTTCCGGTACCAGGAATCAAACTCACGACCTTGCGCTTGCTGGGCAGGCGCTGTGCCACTGAGCCAAATCCCCAGCCGACAGGCCTCTTAAATAGTTCTGTTGTTGTTTTCTGATCGGTTTAATACCGACCTTTTGGGGTGACAAAATCCAGTCTTGATATTGTGTTGTGGGAATTAAAATGGAGTCTTCGTGTGACTTTTTGTTCATTTAGGCCAAACCATTCTGCTGCAAGATAAGCAGGGTGCAACGGTCTCAAAGAAGAGAAGCCACTCAGGCAGACCGGAGGCGCAGGGCGGAGAAGCGCGCTGAGAGTCAGCTGGTGGCTCGGCTGCTGCCTTAGGCAGGGCTCGTGATGCGATTGTGTATGGCCTCCAGTCTGCTTGCTACCATCAGTCAGTAGTGTCTTGGCCTGTTCTCAATTACCCAACCCTCACTGCCTTAAGAAATATCACAGAGCAATTGGAATGCTGACTGCATATTTTATGGTTAATGTATTATTGCTATTATTATTTTTGGAGGTATTATAGTGATACTGTGGTTATGTTAAGAAATGTAGGAGTCTATTGCTCTCTCTCTGTTTTTATTCTCTGAGACAGTGTCTTGACATGTTGCGTAGGCTGGTTTCGAACTTGTGATCCTCCTTCTTCAGCCTCCTGCATAGCTGGAATTACAGGTGTGTGGCACAACCTCTGGCTATGAAATAAGGAGTGCCTTAGAGATCTATACCATAATACTTATGGATGAAATAAATTGCCACCTGGATTTGCTTTAAAATAATCCAGTGGAGGAAAAGGGGAATCTGGCAACATGTAGATGAGACAAGATTTGCAGTATATTGATAATTATTGAACAGGGTATGGCTATGTGGAGGCTCCTTTTCCTCTTCTCTCTACTTCTGGCTTATTTAAAAATTTCTATGGCAAAAATTTAAAGGACAAGGCCCCAAGGTGGAGTCAGAGAGGAGTCCTGCTCTGCCTCAGTGTAATCACAAAGCACCATAGCATTCAAAGGGTCTTTGGCCTTAAAATTTCACTGGCGATGTTTCCTTTACTCTGTGTGCCTTTCCTATCATGCTGAGGAGACTTTAGAAGGCGCTGCATTAAATATGACTTTACTGTAAAAATGCCCTTGTGAAATGAGCATTTCCTCTGTGAGAAGAAAGGACCGTGCCTGGGGAAAGTGGTCAGGGATAAACATCTGCACCTGGCCGCTGGCTTCAGGGCAGGACACTGGCCGGGCAGAGATGGACCTGCCAGGAGCCAGGAGGGGTTGGCGTGGGGTTTAAAGGAAAGGACCTCGATTCTGGTATGAGTTATTCTGCTTTCTGCCAGCTTCAGGCCTCTCACACCAGATTTCCTATCTCCACCTACAGCTCATCTCATCTCTGCTAAGTGATTTTCTTTTTCTCCTCATTCCTTAAAAATTTATTTGCTTCCAGACACCTGATTAAAGCCACTCTCCTCTGGCTGTCCGCCTTAATCTGTCAGCATTTTCCATTATCCACCTCTCTCAGCTGACACTCTGTGCTTAATTGGCGCTATGGTAGGGGGAAAGAGACAGAAAGCTTTAGTTAATGCTAGGAGCAGGCTGAGCTTTCAATCTTAACACTGCGTACCCGGGAGTAGTGGGTTTCAGTTCGTCCTTTAATTTTCTCAAGTGTCTTTTATTCCCAGGTGACTTCTCTGTTTGCTGTATGTAGCAGCTTGGCCACTGACAGCCAGAGGGAAGGCCTTTGCCTGGGAGACCAGATTCTTCACCTAAATTTAACCCCATATTTCAATAGTTTTCTAAACAGAACAGCTCTTAGGAGAGGAAAGTAACACTGTGAAATATATCAATTGCAAACATCCTTAGAAATAATCTTGTCTACTCCCTTATTTTAGAGATTTAAAATTAGGCCAAAATCTTTGAATGAGTTGTCTAGGTTAGAAATCTACTTAGTACAACACATTTCTCCTACTTCCATTAAAAATTGATTCAGTATATTCAGTATATGCATTTTAAAATTCACTTTTTGAATAAAGATTTTTGTTATGAGTTAGTGTGGGACATTAAAAGAAGTACACATCTTACATATTTATTTTACTCACCCCCCTTGTTTTGTTTTTCTTGAGGCAGGGTCTCACTGTGTAATGCAGGCTGGTCTTGAACTCACTTACTAGCCCAGGTTGGCCTTGAACTTATGGTCATTCTCCTGCCTCAGCCTTCTGAGTGCTGGGATTAGAGGTGTGTCCCACCACGCCCGGCTGTTTCACCTTGATGTATGAAATATACCTTCATTTGCAGACATTTTGTGTAGGCTGTCCAAGTTGGCATTTCTATACATCCATAGTGTATTATCACTGATCTCAACTTTCTTTGAAGGAACTTGAGTGAAATGTATAGCTATTTGTTAAGTAGTCTAACTGCAAAATTCCTACAAAGTCTTAATGTTCTCTAATCCTTTTATGGTTTTTGTAATTCATGGCTAATTTGATAGCAATATTTTTGGCAACTCACCTTTATTGAATTTTTCCAAGGAATTGAAGCTGTTTCTATAGAAATAGTAAGTCTTTCTCTTTACCTACATATTGTATCAGTTACCTTAATACGGAACTAAATTACTGAGTTAGAATGACATGTATGCAGGCAGCGGTGGGCTTAGGAACCAGGATAATTGACTCTTAGTAAGCATAACAAATGGTAGGAGCAGAAGTGCAAAGGTACACCAGGGATTCACCTGCTTGCCAAGGGGGAACATTAGTCAGTAGGTCAGCACCAGTAATGAAGAGCTTCAATTTATCTGGTCAGATGGTGAAGTGGGAGCCATTTAATAGGCCATTTCAATTTTTAAAATTTTTGCTTTTGACTGACACACAGTTGTGCATGTTTATGGGGTACAATGTGATGTTTTGATTCATGTATACATTGTGTAATGATCAAATTAGGGTGCCCAGCCTATCTATCATCTTAAACATCTACTACTTCTTTGTGGAAAGAACTCTCAGAATTTTCTCATCTAGCTGCGTACTTTGAAATAAACCCCACATTGTTGTAAAGAGTATTCATCTAAGTCAGGACTTATTCATTATGTTAAATGAAACACGCCAGGCACAGAAAGACAAATACCCCATGGTCTTGGCCACTGGTGGAATCTAAACCTGTTGCTGTCACAGAGGTTGACAGTAGATAGTAGTTACTGGAAGCTTTTTGGGGAGAGGTGGATCCACAGCTACAATGTTGCTGTTAGGTAAGAGATTTTTGTTTTTTGTTTTTTGTTTTTCCGGTACCAGGAATTGAACTCACGACCTTGTGCTTGCCAGGCAGGCACTGTGCCACTGAGCTAAATCCCCAGCCCTGAGATTGTTTTTTAACAGGTGTTTTCTACTGAGGTGCTTTGGGCCTTGTGTCCTAATTGGGAAGTGCCTGACCCATCTTCCCTGGCCTTGCGGACCCTGACTACGCTTTTATACTCCTCTTCAGACCCATGTCCCAGATGACTGGAGTTAGCTCACACTTCTGGCTTTGTGAAACCTTTTTGCTTGGAAACACTTGGGTATTTCTATGTTGGTACTCTAAACTCAAGTATGTGTCACTTTTTTTGGTCATGTGTTTTTCAGACTGTTCTCCACTTTTGCGGGGGAACAGTTTAGTTCACTTGTGAGCAGACTTCTGGGAGAATTTTCTCGGTAAATAGCTGACTCAGGAGGAAGAGCCAGGACCTTTGCAGGGAGGGCTGTTGAGGACTGTGAGCCCTGAGGCTTGTTTGCAGGAAGGCAGACCTGGGAGTCTGCGAGGACAGTCTCTTTTGCTTATGCCCACCTGCGTGAAAAGAATCTTGGCTCTAACATGCTCCCAACCCAGCACATTACTCCCACATTACCTTGGAAGTACTCCAAGTTAGCATTGCTTTTTGTCTCTCTGGAAGCCAAGTTTTAATTCTACTTCCTATTATCCTATTACTCTGTCTCTTGGACATTCTTCCTTTGATATAGATCTGTCAGGCCCCTTTGTAAAAATGTAAACCTATTACATTCCCTTTATTCACCCTGGCACTAATGTCCTGACTTCAAATAAATGTCCTGAAGCTCTGTTGGCTGGCCTTTACAGGGCAGCGCATTTTAGAGTCACTTTCCATCCACTGTCCTCTTCTACTTTGTTTAAGATGTAAAATGAGGGCAAAGAACCACAGAGCTTAACTAATGGCCTGCAATTTCCTGCTGTCTCTACACCTTTTTTATGACATTAATTCATTGCCACTTCTCTGACCTGTGGAATCTCTTCTGGATAGAAATGATGAGGAGTTAAAATAAAGTTAAAAAAATACCAATTTGATTCAATAGTCTGGTCAGAGTTCTTGTCATTGCCTCTTTGGGACAGGATATGCTATTGTAATCATTTTAACAACCACTCTCTTTTTTAAAACACATATCTTAATTTCTCATCTCCTCTACCTGAAGGTTAGGGTTTTGATTTAGTTTCCTCCGGTTGGAAGAGAAGTGCTTACAGTCATCTAAATTGCCCATCTCTGCTGACTTCTCTGTTTTGTCAATTTTTTCCCCAAACATACCTTTATGGTACAATTACTGAGAAAAACATTCAATTTCAGTTTTATGTTTTAACATTATCATTTGACACTGCTGGAGTTTGGCAAAGGTGTTTAGTTAGTATTTATCAGTCGGATTATTTGTATTGCAAGTAATAGAAGCCTATTCTAGTTCATTTAAGCACAATAGCAATTTATTGAAAGATACAAAGGGAGTCAGAAATCTAGGGGAAGGATTCAGAAAAATAGCAGTGTGTTAATTAGCTATTGCAGCAATAACACTGCATAGTAAATCACCTGAAAATCTAGGGGCTTAAAACAGTGAGCATTTGTCATTATTCTCCTAGGTCTGCCTATGGACTGCAGGTGCTGAACTCTGGGGAGCTTGGCTGATGTGGCTTCCAAGATAGCTTGTCCTGATTCTTGTGACATGGGGACATAACCTTCTATGGCAAAGATGGAGCTAAGTTTTGGATGCTGAGATGAGGAGATCATCCTGGCCTAAGTGCATCACAAATGCCCCATCAAGGGAGGAAGGGGGGATGGACACCAGAGCAGAAGGTGATCTGAGACAGTGGTGGAAGACTTGAAGATGCCGTGCTGCTGCTGGCTTTGAAGACAGAGGGAGGTGTCTTGAGCCAAGAAACACAGCTCCTTGAGCTGGAAATAATTCTCCCTGAGACCTCTGAAGGGAACATGGCTTTGGTATGTTGGTTTGAGCTTAATGAAACTGGTTTTGAGTCTCCAAATCTCTGGAAAATAAATCCATGTTGTTTCAAACTGCCAACGTTGTGGTACTGTGTTACAGCACCCGCAGGAGCCAGCACGGCTGCGCACTCTGTGTTGGGTGGTGGGTAGGTTGGGCTCAGGCCCCGTTGTGAGTTGGACTTCAGTGTGCTCCATGTTCTTTCTGGGACCGGGGAAAGGCGGAGAGCTGATGGTGTGTGCTCTCCTTAAATCTCTGGAGAGTAATTGTCAAGCTAAACCACACAGGCACACTGAAGGCCTCTGTGCATCACACTGGCTAGTGTTCTTTTGTGAAGGCAAGTCACAGGGCCAGGTTCAACAGCAATGAGGTGGGGAAGCACATTTAACCGACACAGAGAAAAGCAGGGCGAGGTGAGGAAATGTTTGCCCAGCCACAGCCAAAGCAGTCCACACCCCCAGGACTAGCCTCGCTGTGGTTACAAGACACTGGAATCTGCCATTCCTGGCTGCTGTGCACAGGGCGCCACCATTACCTCTTAGTGATGGCTAAGCAGCCTCTTGCTTGCTCTTCCTCCTCCTTTCCTCTCGGTCTTCTTCAAATCATCTGACTCGAGTCAATGGCGCAGGTATGCACATTTGATTGGCCCAGTCTAGGTCAGTGCCTGGCATTTTCAGCTTCCACGCTGGGGGATAAGACCTGCCTTCTGCGGAGCCTCACACAGGGGAGCTTCTAGGGTGAGTACATCCAGGTCACGGCAAGTGACTCACTTGCCTTGGAGGTGGCACGAGCTGTGCTTCGGTTGTGCAGCTTCTTCCGGGTGAGGGTCACGTCAGGACGGTTGCCTTTCCCCAGGGCCTGCCTTTACTGTCCTGGCCTGTGCTTGGCACATTCATCATTTCCTTCCTTCCATGGATGCGCTGAGACGTTTTCTCCTGCATCTCAGTGTAACGCTAGACAGCGGGAAGGTTTGTTCTCTGCGGAATGTAGTAGGAAAGACAAGCTGGGCAGGACCAGACACAGTCCAGGGGCTGGTGCTGGCGTCATTAGGTGGGTACTTTGATGTCTGCTTGCCCGCTGTGTCTGTTCCCCAGCTGATTCTAATACATGGCATGAGGGTGCGACAGGTGGCCTCCAACTCTTCTATATTATTTGAAAGAGAGTTGGGGAATGAAGCTTAAAGGAGAGTTGGCATCCAGAACCCTCAGCTTTAGCTCTGTCTTATTGCCCTATTTTCCTGTCCTATGACATGGTTTATTTTTATTACATGCATGGTTGAAATCCAAATATCAAAAATGACATGAGATGGGCAGATGACAAGTAGGGGAAGCCACACCATGAGAAACCTAATGTGTACAGTCCTCTGAGAGGGCTCAGGTAGGCAGGCTGTGGGAATGACACATCTCCGGGAGCTGGCACCGATCTGTCATGCCCTGCCACTTGCTCGTTCAGGGTCCTTTGCTGTGGACCACGCAGGCTTCCCTGAGGGGTCCCCCAGCTTTCTCAGCATCAGAGAGCCAGGACACCCAGGTAGAGCAGTCCAGACAGCAGCCTCTTCCTGGCCTTTCCAGAGTGGCGAGAGTTATTTCTGTCCAGTGCAGCGAGAGGGTAAATGGACAAAAGAATCATCAGGGCAAGGTTAATTCCTTCAGCACCTTCCCCACATGACCCAGCCCACATGGCTTTTCAGGTCTGACCATCCTGGGCAAATATGAGATGAAGGTCCACTTCCCAGAGGTTTGGAGAGCACAGAAAATGTAAAACCTTCACTTAAAGTGTACTCACTCTGTAATCCAGAGAAAATAGAGTGGGAAACACGCTCAGCTGTGTGTGTAGTCTTAGTGGGATTTTCCCCAAGTGAATCCTATAGATCAGAGCAAAGATGTGACCCAAGAATAAAGACACCTGATATTAAGTGGATGGAGACTTGATATAAAAAACCAGACCTACACAGGAGTCCATAAAAATGACATAGATACTGAATTTTTTTTTTCCTGCTCAGCACCCATTTTCTGGGTTTTTGAGGTCTTTCTTGGGAGAACCATTCCTCCTGCACCCTCATTCTCTCTGGTTTGGCCGGACTGACTTTACTATCTGGATGTTGAAAGTTGGTTCATGACCTAGGTTGTCCAATAAGATAAAATCTCATGAGAGTGGACAGAATAATTGCAGGTCCTATATGTGGATGAGGGGAAAGTCTCCCTGGAAAGGAGCCATAAAGAGAAACAAAATCAAGAGTTGAAGAGCATAATGATCAAGTACTAACAATTTAAGGTGTGTCCCTGGATTCAGCCATGCCTGAAGACCCACAGTCTTTGGACTTTTTAGTTTATTTAAACCAATAAATTCCATCTTTTTATTCAACTTTAGATTTAGATTTAGATTTTTCTTTAGTGTTATGTTTTTGATATATATATCCAGGAGGTCCTACTCACACAAAAAGCAGACCACAGATAAGAAGAGAGGTACTGAAACAACCACTAGAAGGAGCGCAGTCTGAGGTTGTTACCTCTGGTAAACCTTTCTGGGGCTCTTTCTTCCCTCACCTGGGAAATATAGCTGAAGTTGAAACGTTAATTATTTTACTGAGCAGGTAAAATATTACGCGGCCATATGACTAGCATAGCTTTGTAGTATGTAGGTGGTTGACCTATGTTCTCATTGGAGGGCTCTGTTCATAGAATCTTTCCTCTGAGACTAGTATCCTTTATGCTGTTGGATTAGCCTCCCTACAACTTTTGAGTGAGGTGGGTAAAACAGTACTAAGAGGACCAGGGTGACTATTTCTCCTACGGCAGAAACATATTCAGTATTTGACACAAGAAGGGGCCCTGCCAAACCAAGCCATTCTTAGAACCGATGCTTTGACTTCTTAAGAAATGTTCAAGGCGGATTTAAATGAGTCACTGTTAGGTGTTCCAGGGCTAAATGCACATGATGCCCACTAAATATTTAGTGCACGGTTGCATGTTTGGGGTGGATTGTACTTGTACTGAGCCCTTTGTCTTAAATCAATAACCCTTTAAGAGGGAGATTCCCAGAACATTTTTCCCTCATTACTGCTGAAGAATATTTAAAGTTGGTATTTCTTCTACCTAACAACACTTTTTTTTTTAAACAAAAATAGACATTTTTGTATGACTACTATTATTTTTCTATAAAATTCTGTGTTTTTGTATTTTAGGCACAAGATTTTTGGTTTAGTTTTTTTTTTTTTTTTGTTTGACTTTTCATGTTTCTTTTTATTTTTTGAGTTTACACGTACTATTTGTACATATTCATGGGGTATAGTGATAATTCCACACATGTATACAATGTGCAAGGATCAAATCAAGGTAAGTAGCAGTTTTATTTCCTCAAACTTTTTATGTTTCTTTAAATGATTAACTTCTTCCTCCTGAAAAGTCAATATTATTCATGGTTGAGATTGTATTTTAAATGTTAATGCATTCTGCCTCCTTCCTTCTTGTTTGTCATGGTAATTCTTTCACTGCACAGAGGATCTGAAATAGATTTAGATATAATTGGGTCACAGATTATTAAATAACCAGTCTCTCTACTTAGTCTTGAAAAGTTTGTCAAGCACAGTTCTTTTTTTTATTTTAAAGAGAAAAGAACAAAAACAAAATAACAGCCTGGTATGGTGGCGCACGCCTGTAATCCTAGCACTTGGGAGGCTGAGGCTGCAGGGTTGTTGTGTGTTCCAGCAGCCTGGGCTACAAAATGAGCTCAAGGCCAGCCTGAACTGCATAGGGAGACCTTGTCTCAAAAAGACAAACAAAAACAAACAAAACCCCCCCAAACCCCAAAAAAATCCCAAAGACAAAAACAAAACAACACAAAAACTATAAAAACAATACAGAATTTTAAAACAAGATGATAGAAAATCAACAATGGTTGTTGTATTACTTATTGTTATCTTCAAAGTAGTTGCTCAGATTACCAGATATAGGTATGCAAGATTGATTAAACAATTAAACATTAACTGTTCCTTTCAGTAAACCAAAAGAAATTAGTAGTACAATTATCTTAGCTATCTTGTGTGTGTATGTGTGTATATATATTTCCCTCCCTTCTTTCTTTCTTTTCTCCTTTCTCTCATCCCAGTTTTTCCTTCCTATTAAGCAGTTTCTTTCCCTTTCACAATATCTCTTGTACCTTTTGGTTTTATTTACTTTTTCAGGTTCCTACTTTAGTAGGGAGACAATATGGTGTTTACACATGAGGGTCTGATGTATTCACTTATGAGTATGGTCTCTAGTTGCATCCATTTACCTATAAAAGCCTTGAGTTTACCTTTCTTTATAGCTGAGTGATGTTCCATTGTATAAAAACACATTTTTCTTATACACTCCTCAGTTGATGGGCATGTAGATTGTTTCCAAAATTTTGCTATGACAAATTGTGCTGTTGTGAACATGGGTACACATATATCATTGTGGTATGATGTTTTTAATTCTGGGAAAACACTCGGAAGAGAAATGCTGGGTTAGATGGGACCTCTATTCCTAATTTTTTGAGGAATCTCCAGACTGATTTCCAAAGTGGTTGCACCAGTCTACATTGCCACCAAGAGTGGAGAGGAATTCCTTTCTCCCCCACAGCCTCTCCAGCATTTGTTGTTGGTTGATTTCTTGATGATAGCCATTCTTACTGATGAAAACGTCCTTACTTCCAAAATTGTTATACAGATTTAATGCAATCCCAATCAAAATACAATTAACATACCTCACAGAAGAGAGAAAATATTCCTAAAATTCATCTGGAACCAGAAGACATCTAGAATAACAAAGGAAATCCTGGGCAACAAATGCAAGTCAAGAGGCATCCCAATCCCTGACTTGAAATTGTACTACAAAGCTATTGTGATAAAATCAGCATGGTACTGGAAAAAAAAGGTGAGATGAAATCTCAGTGTTGTTTTAATTTACATCTCTTGAGTGACCAGTGATGTTGAACATTTTTTCATGTATTTCTTCATCTGCAACGTGCATATTCATCTCAGATGCCCATTTTTGGACTGGGTCTTTGAATTTAGGGGG